AGATTTTAACCTCTAGTAATAATTAAATATATTACCTTTGGACTACTTATTTGCCAGCCAATTCTGCAATGTAGCCTACTGTACACAATATAAAACCACGAATAACCTTACTTATAATAATTCAGACTTTTTAGTTAGTCTTACAATGTTGAAATCATTATTTAACTGTGCAATTTACAAACTTGTGTATTTTTTTGTAAATTAGTTAAACACGTGATAAGTAGTAGAATCATCGGAGATGGCTCAAATCAAAGGAATTTAACTTAGAATAGCTGAAAAAATAATGAAGTTTTTTCTTATAACTTGAAGGTTATTTTTGTGTTGAAGGAATGTTTAACATGAAATAACCACATTGACTAAAAAATAAACGATTCAGGATTAAATGGAAAACTTTTGCTTTGTTTTAATTTCAAAACATATGTTCAAGATTTATTCAATTTTTTATATTTTATTTTACCAATTTTAATTTTAGATTAATTTATTGTGGTGTTTAATCAATTATTGTATAAAGGGATAAACCTCAACGGCCACTCTTGGAAATCAACCTGGGAATAAAGATGAAATAGGTTCGTTCAGGACAGGCAATATATTTGTTCATTAATCATCAAGTAAGTACTATGACAAGTTCCAATGGGCGGAAACACATAATTTTTTAGAGGAGATTTTAACCAGGTACTGCAAAAAAGGTTCAAATAATATAGCCCAGCATGTACGGTGGTAAAGGAAGCATCCATATATAACAGTAAAACCTAGAGGTAGTTTCCGTTTCTTAAAACCAACCAAAAATATGCATGTCGAAGATTCTGATGAAAAGTAATTAATTGTTTTTTAACTGGGTAATGGAAACCTAACCAGTCGCAAAATAGTTAGGAATCAGCCGTTGAATAGACCCCTTTTTGATAGAATATTTAAAATCAATCGCACCTTTAGGAGGAATACCACCACATAATCTTACACTAGGCTAATAGTAGTTTTTATGTTGATCAGAAACAAATCTAGCGATACGTTTGGTCAATGGGATGCTTTTACTTTACACTAATTTTGTTAAACCTTTCCAAAAGGAGCATAAACGTAGAAATAATAACTTCGTAGGGATGCTAATTTAGCGGTTTTGACCAAGAACTAAGCTTATCTCAACACACCTTTATTTGCTCCAGTTTTACAATTGTCTTAGTTTCAATTTTGATGTTTATTTGTTTTCACGTCCAGTGCCTTTGGATGACTGAAATCTGTCATCACTTGCTGATTGGTTCCTGGAATCTGGAACCCAACTTCAGCTGTCTCTAGTAGACATTTCTGAATTTCGATACGACTAATCAAAGTCATTTTAAACTTAATTGAGGTATAATTAATTAATCAATGTATATAGTCTCTGTGAAATCTTGAAAAGTAGGGCACTCTTGACATTGTGGATTGCTAAATTCTTCCACTGTCACACAGAGTTTGTAAAAGCGAGTCGAACGCTCGTACTGCCCAGTGAATGCTGGAATCTCGCAATGAACAAGTTCCACGCAAAACACACTTACTGTTGTCTGGTAGTGGTCTTCGGACTTATCTACCACTGAAGAGACTAAACAAAGTCGAAACAACAGAGCACACTTCTATCCTTAAAGGCGGATAGTCGTATTTGACTTAGCGCAGGCTCAATCAAATTTTGAATCCTCAAACCACACACTACACATGGATCGGTCACACCCGAGACGGTATGTGTGACGATTCCGATGCTCGGAGAGGTCGGGATTTGGTATTGAGATTTAAAAGATACATTCTGAGTGAATGTAATTCTTAAATTGGCAAGGGGTTCGTCCCCATTTACCTTCTAAAATGATAACCTGTAATTGAGCGCTAGTCAGAACGGGAACAATATCACGCGTATCCGGGTTAAGAGACGTAGGGCAACGCTGATCTTAATTGCAGCTATCAACCACATAAAGCTTAACGCTGTGGGAACCCTCACGATCGCCGGTCAGGCAGATGCCGCCATACACGAATTGTGTCCACGAGCCTAAACGTGCTTCTGTTTGATGATACCAGTGATCCTAGAAATTGCAGTCTGATTGAGAAGACTGACCACCATCCAGTGGATTTGCAACTACATCACCTGCTACAAGTACTTTTACCAATTGAAAATTTTGAGTACCTTGTAACATTAGGTGCAAGTGTTCGGCCACGTAACCTTCTAAATCAAATTAATTTTGTAGGTTTGATGTAGATCATTTATGGTCACGTAACTCGTCTTTGGGATATACGTGCGAATGAACGCCCTAGTGGCGGGATCACTCTTGCAACGTAAAAGGTGCGATTAAACGCATAACGGTATCATCTGTTTCGGTCTCAGGGCTAAACAGCCCATACCTCATCAGGTGCACACTTTAGTGCACGACAGATTGGAATAATAATATGTAATATGTTAAGGACGAATTAAATTTTAATTCGTCCTTAACATATTACATATTATTATTCCAATCTGTCGTGCACTAAAGTGTGCACCTGATGAGGTATGGGCTGTTTAGCCCTGAGACCGAAACAGATGATACCGTTATGCGTTTAATCGCACCTTTTACGTTGCAAGAGTGATCCCGCCACTAGGGCGTTCATTCGCACGTATATCCCAAAGACGAGTTACGTGACCATAAATGATCTACATCAAACCTACAAAATTAATTTGATTTAGAAGGTTACGTGGCCGAACACTTGCACCTAATGTTACAAGGTACTCAAAATTTTCAATTGGTAAAAGTACTTGTAGCAGGTGATGTAGTTGCAAATCCACTGGATGGTGGTCAGTCTTCTCAATCAGACTGCAATTTCTAGGATCACTGGTATCATCAAACAGAAGCACGTTTAGGCTCGTGGACACAATTCGTGTATGGCGGCATCTGCCTGACCGGCGATCGTGAGGGTTCCCACAGCGTTAAGCTTTATGTGGTTGATAGCTGCAATTAAGATCAGCGTTGCCCTACGTCTCTTAACCCGGATACGCGTGATATTGTTCCCGTTCTGACTAGCGCTCAATTACAGGTTATCATTTTAGAAGGTAAATGGGGACGAACCCCTTGCCAATTTAAGAATTACATTCACTCAGAATGTATCTTTTAAATCTCAATACCAAATCCCGACCTCTCCGAGCATCGGAATCGTCACACATACCGTCTCGGGTGTGACCGATCCATGTGTAGTGTGTGGTTTGAGGATTCAAAATTTGATTGAGCCTGCGCTAAGTCAAATACGACTATCCGCCTTTAAGGATAGAAGTGTGCTCTGTTGTTTCGACTTTGTTTAGTCTCTTCAGTGGTAGATAGGTCCGAAGACCACTACCAGACAACAGTAAGTGTGTTTTGCGTGGAACTTGTTCATTGCGAGATTCCAGCATTCACTGGGCAGTACGAGCGTTCGACTCGCTTTTACAAACTCTGTGTGACAGTGGAAGAATTTAGCAATCCACAATGTCAAGAGTGCCCTACTTTTCAAGATTTCACAGAGACTATATACATTGATTAATTAATTATACCTCAATTAAGTTTAAAATGACTTTGATTAGTCGTATCGAAATTCAGAAATGTCTACTAGAGACAGCTGAAGTTGGGTTCCAGATTCCAGGAACCAATCAGCAAGTGATGACAGATTTCAGTCATCCAAAGGCACTGGACGTGAAAACAAATAAACATCAAAATTGATGAGTCCGTCCACAATAATTTAAGAACAATGAGTGTCTTAGTTTACTGAAAGGTATATGGAAAAGAAACATATGCCATACACTGCATTCCCGGCGCCGGGGACGTTTCGTGGAAATACATCTCACCCCCATCCCTCCCGTAGGTATAAGTAAATGCCAGATATGCAAGATGTCAGTTCGTCTTGAGCAGTGGTCATAGAAGTTGGCGAATTATCGTGCTGAGCTATGTCTGCTGTGTCTTTTAAATCGAAATTTGGTGGGGTTTGGTGGTCAGATGATAAAAGTTTTGTGTATAAACCTAAGAAGTAGAGTTTAAGTGGAAAAAACAATGATAGCAGATCTTGACAAGAAATAAGGAAAACCAAAGTGTAATATGGAAAAGGACTGACCAAGGGACACAAGTACGTTGTTGTCAAGAACAGGGGTTTCTCAATGAGCTGCAGACAAGCCAAATTTTCCTGGCTTTTGTAGCAAGTTGTTTATAATAAATTGTTGTAAGATTGTATGATTTTTAAAGAAATAAAATTAATCTCTTAAACCGGTGACAAGTTGAAGGGGAGATACAACTAGCCGCAGGTACAACTAGACGTAGGTACAAGTAGGCGTAGGTACAACTAGTCGTAGGTACAAGTAGTCGTAGGTACAAGTAGTCGTAGGTACAAGTAGTCGTAGGTACAAGTAGTCGTAGGTACAAGTAGACGCAGACGTATGAGGTACAAGTAGACGGTGACGTTCCCGACTAGTTGTACCTGTAGATTTTTAAGAGGTACAACTAGACGTAGAGACAACTAGACGTAGAGACAACTAGACGTCCGCACCATCGTCAAGTTGTCTCTACAGCTTTGGACGGGGTACAACTAGACGCCTGTCACCAAAATGCAGCAGGTACAACTAGACGCCGGTACAAGTAGACATCGCCCCGTTGAAAAAAGTCGTCTTCCCCGGGGGCGCACCCCAATTTGAGCACATTTTCCGGACATCTTGATTACTACCACCCATTGACTACCGACTACCGACTATTGACTACAGACTATTCACTATTGAGTGATAACTATTGACTACTGACTACCAACTACCGACTACTGACAGCTATCTATTGACTATTGACTACTGACTAGTTACTACTCACTAATAACTCCTGACTACTGTCTTCTCACTATTGACCACCAACTACTGACTTCTGACACTATCTATTGACTATTGACTACCGACTAGTTACTACTCACTAATAACTCCTGACTACTGTCTTCTCACTATTGACTACCAACTACTGACTGCTGACCACTATCTATTGACTATTGATTACCGAATATTATTTACTGACCGAGTGCAGTTTTCGTGCGGCGTCGTGGATGGCGACGATGTGGGTGATGTTGAATCTGTCCAATTGTTGTGCATCTTTGGAGTCCCTATAGTTGCCCACGTACAGCCCCGGCAACACCTGGAACAGGAGGACGGAAACACTGAAACGTCACATTTAGCATATTTGGTCAATATTGCTCTGTGTAATATTTCCTTAGTACTCCATGTTGGACTATGGTTTATTCTGTCCATACTTGAAGGTATCTAAACAAATTAAGATATACGTCAAAAAACAAGTTATGATTAGTTAAAATTACAGAAAATATGTAGCATGACATTATAGCCTCTAAAAAGCCGTGGCATTGGTGTGGCAACGTCGCACCGGCCTTGTGCAATGTTAATAACAGCAAAATCAAACGTCTAAACATGAACATTGCGTGCATCAGCTGTTTCAGTAGGACGGGAGTGCGGCGTTGCCACTTTTCTCTCACCGCGGCATTGTATTAGAGAAGGCTATGATAAAATACATTTTGCACATGGTGAATAACTCAATGTTAATACTACAATAAAATGTGTACATTGTTAAACATTAAATGAGAAGCCGTATACAAAAGCTCCCTTGTATATCTGATTCTAATGAGATTACATTCAAATCCTTTCTGGTCAATTCCAAACCCCCAACTGTAGCTGCGTTGAGTGTCCTGATTTAATGGAGTTTGTCCTGATTGCCTAGTTACATTGGCCCGAGTAGTGGCTTTGTCTTTCAGGGAGGATCCCTTGAGACCTTACATCCTGACCTACATACAATACCATTCACATTGCTACTATAACCACATTGCTACTAGTGAGTCTATAAATAAAATCATTGCTATCGAATACATGTGGATGAATTTTTTCAGATCACAAACCTTCTCTCCACAGAGATAATTTTTTTCTGGAAATTTTGACCTAAAGCTTACGAGCTTCGAAACACCCGATTACAAAATTATTACACTAAGTGAACATTACACGTAATTGAAACCAGGCTTGTAGCCAGAAGTCCTAGGTTTTAGCCTCTAAATTAGCAGTGCCCCCTATAACACAGGATTTTTTTCATGTCTACGCCACCTGAATTTTACTTCATTAGTTACGGGAGAAAGTTCTTAAACGTGTTTTAGGGAACGCGGTTTAAACCCATGTGTTGGGGATGTACCGGGAATTGAACCCGTTCCTCCCTCACCGAAGTCCGAGACGTCAACCACTAGAGCGCAACACACACAGGACTTTTAAGGATTTCTGACAGTCAGTCGTAAATTTCTGAAAACTGACACGGTTCAAAATCAATAAAAGATAACATCGTGATAACCAATTCAATTTTGGCTAAGAAATTGTTTCACAGCTAAATGGCTTTTATTGTTGTAGTATAAGCCGGCCTCCAAGTCTTGAGCCGTAATCTCTACAACGTCCTATAATATCCGTTCAAAACTATATTCGCACCTTCAACAATAGTCATTCAATGGGCCACTTACATTTTACGACCGAAGAAGATTTGAAGAGTGTAATGGTTTTCTTCAGTATTTTATGATTTTATTGGAGTCGTTCGTCAAAGAGTAATACTATTCACATTATCGCGATGTATGAGAAAATATCAGTTCAAAATTTCATGCTTTCAGGATTGATTATTTATTTTCTAGAAACAGTACATTGTATATTTGGTATATATGGAGTTTGGATTTGAGGTTATGTTTGTAACGAAAAAAGTACAGATAGTTTAGCTACTTATTGGTTTAAACGATTGAATATGTAAATAGTTATGATTATGAATGTAATTATTATTTCTATAACTTAAAAACTGTTCAAAGGAGAATGTTTTTGATAAATTGATTTAATTAAGTTTTGTTAGTGTTGTTTGAAACTACTCACTTTACTTCTGTTCTTCAATCTCCATTGTAATTCTTGTAGTTGTGTTGTTCTTGTTAACATATGTTTCTATTTCTTCTTTGTGTTTGTATACAGTATATTATAAAAGTGTATTGGGATTGATTGGGCCTGCTTGATTATATATATCATTGAATATTGATTGGGCCTTAACAGAGAAATATATGTTGATCACATAAGTTTACTGATTATATAAATTTAAATGTAAAACTAAAAAGAACAACGCTAAAATAAAAAAAAATACTTATCTGCAATTAATAGATCCCTACCAGTCAAAAGAAGTTAAATAAGTTATTTTCTACTTACAATTCTAATGTCATACCAATGGACAGTTATTAAAACCTCGTTGTTGGTTTAAATTGTCCGTAAATTATAGTCTAAAATCATAAAATATGATAACACCAGTTATCAATCATATTTTATGATATAAGACTATAATTTATGAGCACAAAAAAAGTAGATGTCTAACGTATTATTATGTACTTAAACATGAGATATCAGTGTTCAATACTTTTTTAGCGTCAATACCCTATTGTAATACAATAATAATCGATAAAGATTTTTGGTAAAAAAAAAACTCAAAAAACTAATCCAAGGTCAATATTTTTACACTTTTTTACCACAAAACTCGGTAAACTCATTCGTAGATGCCAACCGCTATCTTTGTAGCTTCATGGAAACAGTTCAATGTTGATAAGAGCACTAAAAACAGAAAAGCACTTTCGATTTCACTGGTGCCAAAAGTACAACTGCACATAGACTAGGCAGTTTGACCGGGACGGTCGTTATCGGCGCCATATACAGTTATGGCGGGAACCATAAACAGCTGATGTAGATAAGCGGTGACGTCATCCCAGCAACAGCTGATAGGATGCTGTTTGATACATGACTTATGTATAGGATGTGAGGTATCCGATATGCGTTTTGTGGTATCATTGCCACACTATAGATAAAGCTAAACGTACACATATTTCAGCTGTGTGGTTATTAATCAAAATTAACTTAGTTGAATAAAGCCATCGACAGTGTGCTGATTAAATTGCTATTTTCTGCCTGGATTTGCCTACATACTTTAGACCAAGCCAAACTGAAAGAACGAACTGTAGAATCTTTGATTTCAGATCGGTCATCCCATTAACAAGGGGAGAAGATACAATTTTAGACTTAACACAATCTGTGAATGGTTCATTAATTTATGTTCCATTTTTGATACAAAATTGACCAAGTCAATTTACTACTAATTAAATATACCTGCTGCAGCAAACCTGCAGACCAAATGAATTTCCGTTTGCCTCATTGGACTTTTACTGAAATATTTCCTTAAAAACAGATGTATTAACAATTTAGAATAGGTTTAGTAAGTACTTAGGTTTGCTGCAACGGGAAGGAAACAAGTTTTATTAGTAAAGTGTTAAAAAAATTGTATGGAAATAATAAATTTGAAAATTTTATCATATATGAAAAATAGTACAAAAAACATTACACCTATTAGCAAACCAGTTACTAAGTCTATAGTAATTATCAGAAAATAATTCATAAGTAAATAAAAATGGAATTTTCAAATCAAAAGTTTTCAGAAAAATATTTCTGCAATAAAAACTAAACATAAAGATATAAGAGAGGGGCAAGCGCCAAAACCAACCTCAGGCAAGTCCCTCCTTGTATTAAACTGTCCTTGATTGTTCCGAGAATGTTTCATTGTTTCCTCATTTCAATCTAAAGTGTGCTTAAAAATACTCTTGCAAGATAAAAATGCACTTATTCCAAACTGAATAGAATTAGAAATATAGCGCGTAAAAGGTGCATTTTAGACTAACCCTCTATAAATAGTTTGGTTAGTTTATTACAGCTGTAATTTTAGGATAGTAATACCACAGACAAAAAGAGTTAAATATATACCCTCAGCTGTAGTTACCATGGTTACCATAGGTTCTGGCGCACACCGCTGGGAGTGCCATGTAGTTTCGGTGTACGCGCTACGTAACTACATGGCGCTCCCAGTGGTGTGCGCCAAAACCTATGGTAACCATGGTAACCAGAGCACGGCTGACAGTCTATATTTAATTATTTTTGTCCTGTGTTTTATGTTGGTTGTTCACCTTGCGTTTGCTTGAAACTCGTCCAATTTGAATACCTAATAGCTTAAATGAAAGCCGGTATTTCACTAATGGTTCTTAGACCAAAATATATAGGATTATATAATTATAACTGATGAAATGCATCTTAAATTGAAGTAAGAATTCGAAAATAAATCAAATTTATGTTTTTTGGTAGAGTAATACAGTAGATAAATATATTCCAATGCTTGATGTGAAATCTGTGCGTGCATACCTTCAATTTGAGACCTCAATCATGAAAATCGGTTGGGTAGAAGGGCCAAACGAACTCGGAAAAGAAAAATCAATAGTTTTTAATATACAAGTTTTTAATCATTAAAATATGCTAAGATCGGAACGCACTCTTTATACACCGGAGAAAGTTTGTAATAGTAGTTTACGCAACGATTGCGTTAACACTATTTACGCGAGTTGCGTACACTACTTTATCTACGACGGTGTTTTAATTACAAAATACCCCCGCCGCAGCAAACCTGCCGACTAAGCGAATTTCTATTTGTCTGAATTGATTTTCAGTTAAATATATTTTAATAACATTAGGTTTAACGAGTACCTAGGTTCGCTGCTATAAGGAAACTAATAAAGTGTGTTTTTGAGTAAAATATTGATAGCTTAGTACAAAATAAATAAATTTGCCAAGTTTGATCAAAATATATCCATAAACAAGCAAACTACAACATTTGACAATATTCTCCATAAGCATAACATGGGAATTTTAAATTTACAATTTTTTTAATTTTCTCCGTTACTAATAACCGAACAAAAATACTTTTTCCTACAGTCACCCGACAAAGTTGGCTTCCCTGTACTGTTTATAGTACAGAAAGCTGCTAATTGCTGCATATTTATACTTTGCCGTACGGTTTATACTTTGCCGCACGGTTTATACTTTGCCGCACATCAGGATTCCAACCAAACAACACAAAACAGCGTGGTTTTATTATGCACGTAATCCGTGTACGCTTGGAAATAGGTTGGCAACACTTAAAGATAATAATACTATGAACAGCTGATTGACTATTATAACTACGATTTAACCTGTCATTTCGTGTTTATAGTTTTGGTATTTCTGAACTTTCTGGACTTTTCTTTTAAACGTTTTTAA